GGCGAGGGGTGGGGGTCGACGGAGCGGCGCGCGGCGCGGGAGCAGGATGCGGATGAGGTGGAGCAGGACGCGGCCCTGGCCCTGGCTCTGCTGCAGGGCGCCAAGGCCGGCGGCCGCAACGAGCGCCTGCTCAACAGCTGGCTCACCTCCGCCGCGACGCAGCCCGAGGGCGGCGCGCTGTTGTGCGGGCGCCGCTGCGCGGCGGTGCTGCGGGGCGTGTGCCGCGCGGGGGAGCTGCCTGTCGGCGCGCGCGTCGCGGCGCCGCGGGCGCTGCTGAAGGTCGCGCTGCTGCCTACGGCCGACCTGGATGTTCTTGAGGCGGTGTTTGAATGGCTTGAGAGGGCGGAGCTGGTTGCCGAATGAGGGGCCGCGCCCGCTCGGCTTCCGCGCGGGCGGCAGGGGCGCGAGCGAGCGAGCCGGCCGGCCGGCGGGCGGGGCGGGCGCGTCGAGAGCCGGCCGTGTGAGAGGCCTGCTTGCAAAAGGTCGGAAGGGATGGCGCGGCGCGGGGCCTGTTGCCCGGCGTCCGCGCTCGCTGCGAAGAGGGGATGGCAGTTTGACGCTGAATACGGAGCCGCGTCGCCCACAGGCGCGAGCTTCAGAGCATGCCGACGGTTGACAATGCTGGGTGCGCACGCACACCAGCCCCCAGCAGGCACGCTTATCATTTGGGGTCGCCGAGCCAAGACAGGCTCGCGTCCTGTCAGCAAGTAGATGCCTCAGGATTGCTGCCCAATCTATGTCAATGTTGGGTGGGCTTTTATCAGCCGCCACGCGGTTCTAGCCATGTCGGCGCCCTCAGTCCTCGCCGTGGTCGTACCAATGGTTTTTTCGCGGGCTGCCCGGGCGCCCACTTCACTGGAAGGGTTGAAGCCAAGGCCGCCGGGGTACCTCACACGATCACGCCCTGCACTGCGGTCCTGCCGACCAGCCGTCATTCCCCAGCCCCAACTGGGACAGGGCAGCTGCCGTGCGCTGCCGTTGCGATCGAAGCCAGGGAAAGGGCAAACAATCTCAGCGGTGTTTGTGAGCCATGCCTGCTGAGCACCTGACACCACCCATAATCCAGACCCAAGAGACAAAGGGTCCTATTGCTCAACTGCTCAACCAGGCCGTGCTGCCAGCCTAGCTGCTTCGCTTGTCTCATTGTCATGGCTACGCATGGCATTGCATTGTGGACTCTGCCCTTGTGTTTGGTTCTATTGCCCCTTGTGTCTCACAACTTGTAGGCCACTTTACACGCTAGGCTGCATGTGCACTGATAATGCACAGTCGCACCTGCCAGAGCATGCGCCGCGAGCTCGAGGCAGGCCACACAACGGCGCGTGTAACGCAGGCTGTCCTTGGTCAAGCCTGTGCTGACCACAACCATCCAGCAGCGACGAGACACACTAGCCGGTGACATCACCAGGCTGTGTGCATCTGGTCTCAGAGGCATGAGCCGGCTCGCACCCATCAGGGGCCCGGCATGACTTACCTGTGCTTTGTTGTGACGAGCAGCAGCACCTGTGTAGGGGGGGGGGGGCTGGGGCGACACGGGTTTGTTTGCATGGGTCGATCACAGCCTTTCGGGTGTTGACGACCAGCGTGACATGGCGTGTGTGGTCAGCGAGGTGTGCACAGTGGGCGGCGGCGGCTGGGGGTGTGTGTTGAAAGGGGTGCCGAGCGGTATGCACGTGAGGCGCGCGCTCGCTTCAGGAACTCCAAGTTTGCAGTCAAGTCAGCAGGTGCAGGAAGTAAGAGGGTGCAGGAAAGTAAGAGGGTGCATGGCAGGACGCAAGGGGTGGCGATCAACATCGGCAGGGGGGGGGGGGCAAGGAGCGGGGCACGATACAATCGGGATGGGCGAACCGGCGTTTGCCATGCTGCATACCCGGCAGCAAATACCCTCCAGGTGTGTGTGGCAGGGTTGCGCTGCGAGGCGCCCGTGGTCGCTGTCAATTTGAGCTGAGGGTGAGGCAAGGGAGGTGCAACGCTCCACGGGGTGTCCAGGGATCTGGCGTGGACGCGCCAGCAAACCGCTCGGCAGCAGGAGTGGTTTATGGGGGTGCGCATGCCACCACAGCGAAGGTTCACCAAGAGTGGGTGACTCATGCTATGCCGCGTTGGTGTGTGTGGGTCTTGAAGTGTGCAGTGTACAGTGTGGGTCTTGAAGTGTGCGCCAAGCCCATTTTTTGTGTGATGCTTCGGGCATTGATGGCAAACCTGCAGTTGTTGTGCATGCAGGCGGCACCGCAACCAACATTCATGACTTGTGTGGACCTCGTGTATTTGCCCATGCAATGTGGTTGAAGGGCGGGCCGACCACGGCAGGGCGGCCAAAGGTCATGTGCCAGGCGCGCTCCAGGTGCAGAAGTTTCTTAGGGTCAAAAGAGCAGCAGCATCTTTCATGACTATACATGATGGGGCGGCCTAGGCTGTGTCAGGTCGCCCTGCTGTGGCCAATTTGGCAATGTGTAGCCGTCCGAGGAAACCCAGAGCGCTTGCAGGAGGGTCGTGCTTTATGCCACCCCCAGCAGCCAGGGACGGGGGCAAGGGTGCTCCAGCCACAGGGGGTGTCCTGTCCAACCAAAGTGTCCTGAGGATTCAAAGGCGGCTAGAATGCTTCAAGCACTGTCAATAGGGGCCGATTGCGGCTCTGGTGAGCCGCTGTGCGTCCGAAAGCGCGGCAGCACATCACCGCACATTGTGCTCTGCCAGCGCACAACCCCCGGCCACGGCTTGGCAGGTGAGCGAAACCTACGTAAATGGGCTCGGCACAGCCTGGCGCCGTGCCAAGCATGCTTGCTTCGATCCCAAGGTCACATGTGTGTGCGCAGAGGACCGCGGCCTATGGAAAGGCGTGGCTGCTGCAGCTCGCACAACTTTTTGATCCAGGCCACAGCATCACAAAATCTGATCATGTCTGTTCATGGTGAGGAGGGTTGTCGATGTAAAGGTCGAAAAGAGTCCAGTCCAAACTGTGAGGGGCACACAAATGCAAAGCGCGTGCCTTGGCAAGGGGTAAGAACAAGTGCGCACCAACACAAGGCATTACAGAGAGATTTCAACATTGGAGCGCATCGCCACCTGAAAACGCGGCTCGCAGCCTCAG